ATTAAACTTTAGTTTTGTATTTAAATTTCACTAAATAAAAATATCAAAATAACAATTGAAACCTGTTCATTTTCATATATAAAAAATGCGCCTATTTTGAATAAAAAATTTAACCTTTTTTAAAAAAAATAACTTTTGGTACGGGAAGTACCAGCAATTTGCCTTAACGAACAGTTATGATTTTTGTTCAAATTAATGATTTCATTAAATTTTTCTAGAAATCAAAATTGAAGCTAATTATGTACACAAATTATTATTGCACTTATTATTTACTCATTTTACACTTGTAAATAAATAATATACAAGACTGTTCCAATCTTAAAACACACTTTTCTTTTAAAAAAAATGGTTAAACTTCACTCACTCATTTATGTACCTTAAACTGCTACACTTTACTAATTAAGTCATTCATTTATATATTTATTTTATCACAAATTTTATAAAACGGACAATCATTCAAGAAATCAAAATGTCTACTGAAGTTAGCAATGATTATTTTTGTCTTTATAATTTTTCTGCCAAAAATTCGCGCGAACGACACCGCCGCCACTAGGACACTGCCGGATCCGAAATTTAGACGAAATGTTTCGGTATAATTATCCCCGTAAATTATAATATACTAATATAAACTAATATGTGTATATATATACTAATATATATATATATATATATATATATATATATATATATATATATATTACGTGGGTAATGGTACACGTCATTACCTTAAGATATTTCGGTCAGCATGACAGACTAATCCATTTGAAATTTTGCCAAAATTGCAAATAAAACACAATTAGATATATACACATATATATGTATATATATATATATGTACATATATACACATATATATACATATGTATGTATGTATGTGTCTGTGTCTGTGTTTGTAAAATTCAATAAAAAATGTTTATCAAAGTATTTAATCACGACGTTACGAAAAAGTCATCAATTCCATTTTTGGGTTATCTGTCAAAACTTGATTAGATAAATAAATACTATTATTTAAAATTTTTAAAATGTCGTCATTTTAAACAAATTGGCCCGCCTTACTATATATAGTTCAACAAATTTTAATCATTGATGGAATTAATTTGTAAGGTAACAACATGTTATTAAAATTTGTAGAAAAAACTAGTGGTCCAGGTCATCATGAAAATTTTGAAATTTCTCAAAACTTTTTGAAACTCATTCATGTCAGTTGATCCATACTATCGAAAATATCTGATTTTCGACCGCCAAATGGCATTTTCTGGATCTCCAAAACCGCTGGTCCTGCCTTTGAAAAAATGTAAACAATTCTTCATTACGTTAATACAAGTTGAATGGTTTTTTGAATCATTCAAATGGGATGCTCCGTTCTCTCAAAATCAATGTCCTATTCTCTGCATCTACGAAACGGCTGAACCTGCCTTTATCAAAAACTAAACAGCACGTCTCCCTATCAGTAGGAATCAAATCATTCAAATCGGTTATCCGTGCACCAGGAATCGTGGACGAATAATTGTATCCGCACATACATACACACATACATCAATTTCTTCTAAAGTATGCCAAAATGTTCGGAAACCGAAGTTTTCATTTTTAGTGGAAACTGGAAGCTAATAAATAAATACTACTATTTTAAAATATCGTCATTTTAAACAAATTGTCTGCTGATACTATTAATCTGGATCGTGTTATGATGATATTATTAAAACGTGATTATCTAAAAAAAATTAAATAGTTTAAAATGTCGAAAAAAAAATCATTACCAATTCGAAATTGTGAAAGCTAATTCAGAATTCATGTATAAAAAAACAAAATCATAGTATCATCAGGTAACACTAAGAATTTTGTAATATCTGCCAATAATGCCATTAGATAATTTCAAACACTAACGTTAAAGATAAATATTAAAATGAAAATCTGTTCCTATATCATAATATAGCGTTGTCATAGCAACGGTATCTTATGCTTATTTATTGGTAGTGAAAACTGTGAAATTTTCTATCAATTTGCTATGCGTTCAGGCGTATTTCACATATAAACAAGCAAGGAAGAATGTTATGATAACAGAATCTTGCATGCAGTTATCATAAGATTCTTCCTTGCTTCTTATATGTAAAATACGCCTGATCGCACGGCAGCTAGATAGACATTTTCACAGTTTTCACAGAAATAAGCAAAACAATCCCATAAATTAACATTCTTAAGAAAAAATAGTAGTATGCGGGTAATGCATAATTCGACTTGGAAATATATTGCTATCCATAATTCCAAGTAAAAATCGAGATCATAACCGCTTGACATCTGGTTGACCAAGGGTAACGTTTAATCTAGAAACTCTGATTCTGATACCATAGCTCTAACCACTGACCCACGGTCAATATTGTAAGTCGTGAAAAATTTATGAAAATATAAATATTTATAATAAACAGTACAAGATCATAATAAGGACAAAAACTATTTTTTAACTTATTACCACAGAGGGTAAGTTTCAGAGATGTCTGAACATTTTGGCATACATTAAAAAAATGAATGTGTGTGTACATTATTTCGTCGACGTTTTCGGAAGCACAGCTCAACCGATTTGAATGATTCAAAAAGCATTCGATCCCAATTGCTACAAAGAAAACGTGCTGATTAATTTTTGGCAAAAAATCCGTATTTCCCGATAAAAACGGATATCACTACTGCTAGATTTCAATAAGAATTTTATCATTTGAACAATTTTTAATCCATCATAGTCATAGATAAACAAGTATAAATTATGAACATGGTACTACTATGGTCCATAATTTTCTTCGCCTCAAGATAATTCCTTCGATAAATTTAAAATAAATCAAAAGAAGAATGCAGTGTTATTTTTAACCTTCGACTAACTGATGTACGTAAACCGTTAAGTAAACATTTTTTTATGAACATTGAAAAAAGAGAATAAAATGGTACATAAAAATCTTGACATGCTCCGACCATGGTTTAATGTACTATTCATTTCAAAACTGAACCAAAGTGATAAAATTATATATATATATATATATATATATATATATATATATATATATACTCGTATATAATATAGTGCCTTTAAATATTTTGGCATTGATCCAAATATTTTAATAGTTTTCGCAAATAAACACAGTAGTAACGTAGTAAAAATTTATTGACTGAAACAATGTGTTTTCTAAAACTTGTCTTGAACTAATGATAATTTCATATTTCCTATTGGCAAGTTGCAAAAATAAGAGCTCTCTATTACATCATCATGATGATCATTCTACTCCTTATTTTTATTAATATTATATTCATAAATATCATTAAAACGTCCTTTTTAAACGTTGTAAAAAGAACAATTAAAAAATAGATATGTTTTAAAAATGAAGAAAATAAAAAAAAGTGGTCCTCGTAACATGCTCTGAGGAACTCTAGTTTGTATTTGCAATTTTTAATGTTTGTACTCTTTTCTTTTTATTAAATTTATATTTTAATTTTTTATCGATACAAATTAGTACAAACAAAAAAAAAACAAATTAAAAATTATTGGCAAGTTGCAAAAATAAGAGCTCTCTGTTACATCATCATAATGGACATACTAACCCTTATTTTTATTAATATTATATTCATAAATATTATTTAATGTTTCTTTTTAAATGTTGTAAAAATATCAATTTATAAATATATATGTTTTAAGAAATTAAGAATAAAGAAAAGTGGGTCCTCGTAACATGCTCTGAGGAACTCTAGTTTGTATTTGTAATGGTTGTACTTTTTTGTTTTTATTATTAGATTTATATTTTAACTTTTTTAATACAAATTAGTACAAACAAGAAACACTTTAAATACTTCCTCAGGGCAAGTTTTAAGGACCACTTTTCTTGTTTACCATATTTTCTTTTACTTTTTAAATTACTTAAAGCTTTTCTGTATTTTTTTAAATAATTAAAATGAAAAATTGAATGTATAAACAAATTACACTTAATATTATTTTATTAGATATCAAAATGTATTTGAAATTTATAAATATGAAATCTATAAGTTTTATCGTTGTATTTTTTAAATAAACCTGAAAAAACTAGTTTTTATTTTTGGTATTAAATGTGCCAAAGATAATAATATTAGAATATAATAATAAGTTAATTTTTTCTGTAAAATGTTTAAGTTGTACAATTTTTCAGATTGCACTTGCTGAATGATGACACACATGCGGTGTCGAAACGTGCAAAATAAGTACTAATTAAAGTATTTTTTATTTTTTTATTTTGACAATTTACCTAAAAAAATCTGAAGTATTTATTTAACTATAGAACAACAAAAAATCTAAATTATATATTTATTTTAATTAAAAATTTTCTGAGTAGCAAAAATTATTTCTGAACTTAAATTAAATTTTTATTCATAGTTTTTCGGACGTTTCGATTATACGGAATATTCGATTCTATAAAAATAAAAAATCTTTCCATTTTTAAATTATTACAAAAGGAGTGCATACTTATGAAAAAAATGTTTTTTCAAAGGATTCTGAAGAAGACATTTTGTATCTCCGAAACGTCAAAACAATAATAAATTAACTATATATATAAATATATATATATATATATATATATATACATGAAGTAATTAGGATTTATTAATTAAAATTTAAAAAAATGTAGAGATAATATATCTCTATATATGAATAACATAACCTCAAATTTTAATGACACATCCCTTGCGTCCATTTTTTATTTATGTCAAAATAATTTATAGTTAAATCCTTATATTAAATCTTAACCGTGTGTTTTTTCTTTAACATATAAATCAAACCAAAAGCATTTTTGTATCAAGACAAAATTCCTGAGACATCTTGCACTTTAGACAGAATTTAAAAATAGATTACAAAAACCACAAAAGCCCATTGACAACAGTCACATTATCGTTATCGAAAATTACGTCACCGGATAATAAAAATTACATACGTTATAAAAATATTTAGTAACAAAATATGTGTAATTATTTTATATCATATTACCCCTTACCTGGGTTGTTGTACTTTTCATTTCGCGGTGTTACAGACATCATTCAGTTCGATTGTTTTTGTTTACGAAATAACTCACTCACTACATCACTGTCGGCACTACGATAACTTTTAAAAGGTGCTCCAAGATAGTGTTATTTATCTTAAACAAGATACATAATGTATTATGTTTGAATTAATTAATTTAGTGACATTTTGTGAACGGGTCGCGGTTACGTCGCGCACGGCGTCGGCCATTTCACATTGCACTGAGGAACCGAAATCGCAGATCGGAGAAGACGATCGTCGACGACGCATTCGATTGGACGGAGCGAGCGTGCGCGGTACGAGGCGAATGCAGCCGCAGGATAAGAAAGATGGGTAACATAATGATAAAAGAACTAGTGGTGCGTGGTATCGTGCCTTGAGGCAAATTGCTGGAACTTCCCGTACCGTAATTAAACATTCGAAAAATAAAAATAATCAGTCTACAAAAATGTCTATGAATAAATATTGTAACTAGTGGTGCATGGCATCGTGCCTTGAGGCAAATTGCTGGAACTTCCCGTACTGTAATTAAACATTCGAAGAATAAAAATAATCAGTCTACAAAAATGTCTATGAATAAATATTATAACTAGTGGTGCATGGCATCGTGCCTTGAGGCAAATTGCTGGAACTTCCCGTACCTTAATAAAAAATTCGAAGAATAAAAATAATCAGTCAACAAAAATGTCTATGAATAAATATTATAACTAGTGGTGCATGGCATCGTGCCTTGAGGCAAATTGCTGGAACTTCCCGTACTGTAATTAAAAATCTTGGTACGGAACCCAAAAAAATTTACACAAAATGTGTACACATTATTAAAATCTCTATAAACTAGTGGTGTATGGCATCATGCCTTAAGGCAAATTGCTGGAACTTCCCGTACCGTAATTAAAAATCTTGGTACGAAAAATTTGACACAAAATGTATACACATTATTAAAATCTCTATAAACTAGTGATATATGGCATCATGCCTTAAGGCAAATTGCTGGAACTTCCCGTACCAAAAATTATTAATTTTTAAAAAACGATTAACATATTTAAAAAAAATTTACTTTGAAAAAATTAGATTATAAATTTTTGACAAAAATTTACTTTTTTTTGAAAAAAAAAGAATTTTTGAAGAAAAATTTATTTTGATATATTTTAGAAATTCTGAACTTTTTTTTTCAAAGCAATCGTACTGCTTTAACTGCATAGAGACGGGATTTCCATAGGAATCTAAACAAAATTTCTACTTATTATTAAAATCTTTATAAAATATCTGGTAATTTGATGTGCATATGTCTAATGTTCATTTTTGACCGCCAAATGGCTTTTTTTTTTACTTTTTTGATAAGATCTCCGAAACCACTAGACCTGCCTTCATGAAAACTTGATCAATTCTTCATCTTGTCAACACAAGTAAAATATTTTTTGAATTATTAAAATCGGGCGCTCCGTTCTCTTAAAAACTGAGTTACAGTTTTAGCACTTTTTGCTCCATATCTTCGGAACGGCTAGACCTGCCTTGGCCAAAAACTAATCAGCACGTCTCCTTATCAATACAAATCGAATGTTTTTTGAAATATTCAAATCGGTTGATCCGTGTTCCCGAAATCGTCGACAAAATTTTGCATCCGCACACACACACACATACATCCATTTTTTCTAAGGTTTACCAAAATGTTCAGAAGCCTTTGAAACGTAAAGATAAATAAAAATTTACATTTTCGATTTTTTTGCGATTACTATAACTTACCCTACGGGAAGTTAATAAAAAGCGATAAATAATTCAACTATTCATTGTGTACGTTTTGACACTTTATGTGTGTCATCATTCAGAATCTTAAATCAATTCAAAAAATATTTACGAAAGTTAAAAAAATGACAAGATTACTAGAATATATAATAAATATCAAAATAGAATACATACTAGGAAAAGAACACAACACACTTCTTTCCTTTTAAGGACAATGTTTAATGGAAAAACAAATCAAGAAATTAAATAATAAACTAAAACCTACAAAAATCACGCCATATAGAAACGAAGGGGTTCACAAAAGCTGATCCAGGATCGAATTCTGAAACATACTCAGCCAATTGGAAGAGAGATGAAACAAGGGAAGGGAAAAAGATAAAAATTAAAACCTCTTAACCCTTCTACATGTTTGTCAGTCTACACTTCTACCGGACTACGTCTACATATCTACCTGTCATCTTGTTAATCTGTCTGTCTATCTGTCTTCCTAATTGTCAAATTGTCTACTTGTCTACCTGTTCACCTGTATACCTGCCCACTTGTCTACCTATCGACCTGTTTACCTGTCATCTATGTATTAAAATTTAATTTTTTCTTTTCATTTCTTCCATTTCTTTCTTTCTTCCAACTCCAAAACCGCTGGATCAGCCTTCGCAAAAATGTAATTAATGTTTCTCTCTATCAATGCAAATAAAATGTATTTCGAATAATTTCAAATTGTATGCTCCGTTCTTTTCAAAACTGCCATTTTTTGCTTTGTATCTCCGGAACGGCTGGACCTGCCTTTGCCAAAAGCTATTCAACACGTCCTCCCACCAGTAGGAATCGAATGTTTCTCTGATTATACAAATTCGTTGATCCGTGCGCCCGAAATCTTCGACGAAAAATTGTATCCGCGCATACACAAATGCACACACACATACACAAACACACATTCATTTTTCTAAGGTATGCTAAAATGTTCAGAAACCTCTGAAACGTCAAAATTTGTAAAAATTATCATGTTCCATATTTTTGCTATTGCTATAATTCAACAGACAGGTATACAGGTAAGTAGGTAGACAGGTAGATAAACGGGTACACGGGAATAAATGTAGAGAAGTAGACAAATAGATCATATTTAAATTAAAAAATATCATTGATTAAATCGATTATTTACACATATCGAGAAGTTCATGCAACTTGCCACAAGGAAAAATGTCATTAGTTAAAAATTATGATGATAATTAGAATAGAAAAAAATGTTAAAATCAATCACCGGTTGTTTATTTTTTCGATTAATGAATATTGGAGTAAAAGCAATTACTAATTGAAAAAAAACAAAACATTTTTTTAACCCTTTCCACTCGGATGCTGCCGTACGGCGGCAAAATTCGTATAAATCTCGGTATTCGCTAGTGGAAAGGGTTAATATTATTTCATTTATAACAATTGCAGAAGAATGAATAAAAATCATCAATATTTTAAGCACCTACATAATTATTGTTAAATATTTTTAACTTTCCGTAGGGCAAGTTATAGTAATCGCAAAAAATCGAAAATGAAAATTTTTATATATCTTTACGTTTTAAAACCTTCTGAACATTTTGGCATACCTTAGAAAAAATGGATGTATGTGTGTGTGTGTGTGCGTGTGAGTGTGTGTGCGGATACAAATTTTCGTCGACGATTTCGGAAACACCGATCAACCGATTTAAATAATTCAAAATACATTCGATTCGTATTGATAAAGAGACGTACTGATTAGTTTTTTGCGAAGGCAGGTCTAGCCGTTCCAAAGATATAGGGCAAAAAATGCGCAAAACGGTAACTCAGTTTTTAAGAGAACGGAGCGTCCGATTTGAATAATTCAAAAAACATTTTACTTGTATGTATTGATTGTATGTATTGATGAAGAACTGATCAAATTTTCATGAAGGCAGGTCTAGTGGTTTCGGAGATTTAGTAAAAAAAAGTAAAAAGTAATGCCATTTGGCGGTCAAAAATGATCATTAGACATATGCACATCTAATTATCAGATATTTTATAGAGATTTTAACAATATGCATAAATTTTGTTTACATTCCTATGGGTTCCGTACCAATGCTTATCCGTTAGACGGCGACGCAGTGCTTACGCGCTTCGATATTTTGTCTCTATGCAGTTAAAGCAGTAATATTGAAAAAAAGTTCAGAATTTCCAAAATATTTCAAAATAAATTTTTCTTCAAAAAGTCTTTTTTCAAAAAAAAGTAAATTTTTGTCAAAAATTTATAGTTTCTCAAAAATCTAATTTTTTCAGAGTAAATTTTTCTCAAAAATGCTAATCGTTTTTAAAAAATAATAATATTTGGTACGGGAAGTTCCAGCAATTTTCCTTAAGGCTAGATGCCATGCGCCCCACTAGTTTCTAATTCTTATCATCCGCCTCTGTGTCAAAAGTGCTAATTCGTTAAGCCGCCTCACCAAATTATCAGCAAATTATGTTAATTACTCATCGTTTACAATTCATCTTAAATTTTAAGAAAAAATCTAAACAACAAACGAGGAGACCATGACGAATTCCCGCCATGACGCAATGTTCTTGTTATTGTTGTCGAGAAAATACAAATACAAATACAAAGGACAAGAGGACATATGCCAAATAATACATATAATAGATATAATTGTATAATGGACATCTGCTAGATCTGCTTAGTATTGAGGAGATCATTTCGGACTGCGTCGGACTAGTGCGGCGGAGTGCGGACGTACTCACGTCAGTCAGTCAGTCAGTCAGTCAGTAAACGACGTACGGCGACTTCGCCTCTTGGCGGTGAGAAACAGGGCTGCGCAACCAGAAACAAGATACACATCGAATAATAAATTTTGTATTCAGGAAGGTTCAGTAAAAGGTTTATTGATAGTAGCACGACAAATACGTTGAAAAGTAAACCCTGACATGTGTTTGTTAAATATAAAATTTCTTATTATTTTTGAGCTCAATCCATTCAAAGAATATTGGTAGTTTTATTTGATATACAGCATGAATGGGTTAATTTAATGGAAAATATAATTGGAATCGAAATGGATTGGAATATTGAAAATATAGTTGGATAATTAACTTCCCGTAGGGTAGTTATAGTAATGGGACGAAAATCAAAAATGAAAATTTTTGCATTTCTCCATGTTTTGAAGGTTTCTGAACATTTTGGCATACTTCAGAAAAAAGGATGTGTGTGTGTGTGTGTTTTTTGTGTCCGCATTTTTTTGTCCACGTTTTTGGGCGCACGGATCAACCGATTTGAAGGGTTTAAAAATCATTCGATCTCTATTGATAGGGAGATGTGCTGATTAGTTTTTGGCAAAGGCAGTCTCAGCCTTTACGGAGATACGGAGCGAAGAGTGCATAAAATACAAATCTAGTTTTTGAGAGAACGGAGTATCGGTTTTGAATGACCAAAAAAA